TAATAACTAGCACAAATCATTCCAACTCCTGATGGTGTCATATCAAGTCTCTCCCGAAACATAATCTTTTTCCTTCAGCTTTGAGTGAATGTTGCTTCCTAAATATGCAGTAGTCATCATTTCCCTTTTTAATTGGGAAAAGCTAAGCAAGTTGACAAAACTATTTTACAGTCTCATGTCCTGCTAGGGACCAGCTCTTTTCAATCCTGTTTCCTTTTCAATTAATTAGCATGACACCTCCACAACTAAATGGTGTACGTGCAAGAGAACGAACACTTGATCAAAAGCTATTGTGTCATTTTCATACATGAATTCTGTAATGTCTGAAAGAAGACAAAGCCAAGGTGAGTTAGATCTGACAAATTACCTGGATGTAGGGAAAGTAATTTTACCAATATTTGGAAGGCTAAGAGACTTTTCTGTGTGCATGCGTATACACGTATAGAAAGTATCAGAAGAATACAACAAGAATATGAGAATGTCTTCATAGAAAGCTTTAATTTGAGGACATATGGGTGTGACTAGGTGAGGGTACTCTGCTCCCAAGTGAGAAAAGAAAAATGTTTATTTTATGAGCAACACTTATAAGTTCAAACAGGCAATTAAAGTACTTTACTGAGGCCATTTTGGGATACCAAATACTTTGAGGATTATATTCCCCCTTATTTCATGTTTAGTGTTCCTCTAAGTAAAATATGTGGTTCCATTTAGTTACTCAGTTGTGAATTTTACTTTAAAGGCAAGGGACATTGTTGACAATGCACATCTTAAACTTTCCATTAAACTACCAAATTTAAATTCTACATTTTTGTGTACTCTGACATTTTTGTCTGGCATTTTCATTAATTTTGCAACATACATAAATGTAGCTGAAATGTTAACTGATCAATACTTTGTCTCTCTCACATAGCACTAGAGTAAAGCTCCCTAAGGACCATGCAGCAGTACAGAAATTAAATGTGTATGAAATACTAATGTTAAATGCAGCAGTATTTACTGTATAAAGACTGAAAAGGCTAGAAGAATTCCAAATGGACAGATGGTAGCACAAATTACCTACAATCACTACTAAAGATTGAAGTTCGTCCCATAAAATAATTCCCTGACTAACATTGAAGCATGTCCTTTCACTGATAGCTCAGTTGTCCAATTATTTTTGTGATCTACAAGAACAGAAATGTCTGGTCAAGAAGCTGATGGAAATTAGGCCCAGTTAACAGAGATTTCAGTGCCCACAGTGGATTAATCTGAAGAAAAAACACTCACTTCTGCATACTCTAATAAAGTTCTTCTGCCTCAAACGTACCATATTAATTACTGAATTAAAATAAGAAAATTAACTGCTAAACACTCTAAAGGTCTGTTTTAAACACATAAAATCATGTGAATTTATGGCAAAGGCTCCCTGTACATATTCTATTCTTTTCCATTGCATTTAGGTGCTTCAGAAGCATAAACACAAGTATGTAACACATGCTTGATCAGCCGCTAGACATAACAGGACTGTATGTGATACAATAAAGCTGCTCTGTAATTGAAAGGTTAATTTAATGTTGCTATGTACCTCCTGTATTTAAAAGGAAATAAATATGAAAAAGCAGGAAAGAATATAAAATTTTCTGATTGTTCTAATCCAAAGTCATATGCTAGCCAGATCAACCTATGGTTTATGAGCTATTTATGAATATCTTTGAATATTTGAAAAATAACAGCTAGTAATACATCACAGTTACATGAAAACATTAAAATATTATGTGTTAGTAGCAATTTTTCTTCTACTGTTAATTACTGAAGCACAGAAGAAAGAATTGAAGGGAAAACCTTAGGTCATTCAGACAAAATCCCCAGTGAAGGTGATGAGCTTATGAAGTTTAACAGGAACAGGTAAAATATTGTTTTGTTAAGGACATGCATAATCTAGAACATTGAAAACTTACCTTCTAAGTTTCTCTACCTCTAGGCACAGCACAGGCAACACAAGTCATTGGGCTGGTGCTTTTGGACAGATTTTGGAAAGAATCATCCTAAACCTTTAATACAGCATTTCCTTATCTAAGATGTCCCAAATAACGTAAAGGTTTGAGACAGCTAAGTTCTGAAGTACAAATTATCAGCAAGGCCCTTCAATGAACACTATTAGTCTTGATGACTAACACTGTGACTCTCCAAAGGGAATGACTTTAAAACGAACTGTAGTTAAGAGTGCAGAACGTGTATAAAGCAGGTAACAGTAGCTTATTACAGAGTCACCATATTAATCAAACCTTTCTGTAGGTTTCCAAGAACAGTTCTTTTTTCCAGACTGATCTTAGTAAGTACGTTTCTGAAAACTGATCTAGTCTGCCAAAATGTCTTCAACTGTGGTCCTGTGTACCCCCATGAGAAAGTAAAGCCATGGGGTAAGGTGCTAGACAGAAGTACTTGTAATTGTAATGCCAACGACTTGGGGTATTGGGAGATATGAAAAATCAACCCCCACATATGTAACTTACATGAAATGGCTGTAAATCTGCATCAGGATGTTAACCATCAAGGTATGTCTTCAAATCCAACAGGATGGAAAAAATGGTTAGTTTAAAAGTCTACATCTTGTACATTATTTACTAGTCTGCCTAAAGAGCTGGAAACCTCCAGAATAGCCTATTTCTCATCTCCTTTCTGGCAATGACATTTTACTGTGACATTCTGTAACATCTGTGAGTCAATGTCAAGAGGAGACATAATTTGTATAATAGTGAAGAGACCAAAAGTATACATATAGGTACATTTATTTTATATACTCTATTACATTCAAACGTAACCTTAGTGCAAGTATAATTCAGCATTACACACGCAAGTGGACCACTCTCAAGATTTCAAGAGCTTATGAAAGTCCAGAAACAATCTAAACACAAAGCTTATAATCATGATAGAAATTCACATGTATTTGACTTGGCTAGCAAAAACTTTTTTTGCCAGAAGATCCTTGGAGTGAATAACATCAGGTTGAAAAGCAGAGGATCCCTTTTGGATGCAGAGCGGGAATAAATCTGTGCAGTCACAGCACAAATGTAAACATAATATATCCATAATTACCACAATCACTACACAGCAAAACAAACACTGCAAGGAAACGAAGAAAATCAAACTTTTGATCTCTCTCTCTCTTTATGGAGAGAGATATGTAAAATATGAATATATATGTACACAAAAATAAAATCAGGAACATGTTTCTACTGCAATACAGTGTAACTACAATAATGATGTATACTGATTATAGATCCACCTGCTTAAATTCCCCATTTTATGTATTTCCAACTACTTATTATGACACTCATTTTTTCCTATGACCAGCAACAATTACATTTTAACAGCAACACAACTTCTTCCATGGCTACACCAGTGCACCATGGGCAAAAAATAATTTCATTTGCCTCAAAGAACAGGATGTTTTCCCATTTCCTCTTCTTCCACTGCCATCCGGTGAGTGTTCCATATTTGTATTAAAATTAGACTTAGGGAGGTGAGTACTTACTAACTGGAAGAGTAATAGCAATATGAACATTACAGTTTTATGTAGAAACCTGCACTTTCCTATGAAATGTTGATAACTTTTAACTGAAATGACAGATCGCCATTCTACAGTAAACAGCAGCAAGTATATTTAGATTTCTGCACATAAGTGTCATTGCTACAGACATCAATAAAAGTGTAAACCCCCTGACTTTTAGAACAGCACATGTATCTCCTGCACTTCTGATGAACACTACAACCAAGGACCGACAGCATTCTGCCATTCTCAACAGGCAAAAGGTGGTTTAACAAGTAACTCAGTACAAATGGAGCCCTGCTAGAAGAAACTCCCAGCAAAACATCATGACTTAACGACACACACAGCTACTTCATTTTACTGCACAGTCAGCTCCAATGTCTTGTTTGATTCATCCAAATCTTAGGCACCCGACCTTCAGGAACACAGACTCCCTCTATAATTATTCAAAGTTAGATGAAAATCATTCTCTGTTCATATTCATGGGGGAGAGACTCATAATCTCAGTATTTCAACCAACTTAATAAATGTAGATATTCCAGAAAGTATGTCCATGCATACATTTTTACTCCTAGTGGGACTCCCTCATGAAACACAAATGGGGACTACTTGTTTGTAGCTGTTATGATTTTGAAAATAGAAAGATATTTATCTGTGAAACACAATTCAATCAATTCAATTCCAATGCTTGGAATTTTCAAAATTTAACAGAAAAATAAAGGTTAACACTAATGAAGATAATATTAATTGAGAAATAGCAGTTTTGTTTAAATCACTAAAAATGAATTCATTAAAAACTGAACTATGACCAGAGCTTGCTGTCTAAAAGGTACTAAAAGCTTGTATTAGTGCTTTTAAAGTTGGTTCTGTTTTATTTTGGTGGTTTGTTTTTTGTTTTGTTTTGTTGGTTTGTTTTTTTTTTTTAATTCAGGAACACTACCTCTTAGTCAAGAAGCAAATATTTGGGTCCAGAGTACTTCTTTTTGTAATTTTGTACTTCTGAAAAAGCTATAGGTGTAACATATATGGAGGACAAAATAACACTAATTTTATCTCAATTATATGCAAATAAATAACATTCAAAACAAGTGTATGCAATAAATATGCAATATATGAAGGCACCAAAGAAGATTTAATGGAAGTAATTTGTGAGAAGCTTAAGATATATTATCAATAATTCACTCCATTTTGATTTGGATCACTCACTTATAAATTATATAAGCAATTATATTTATACTATTAATATATGTGTATATATTATTATGACTTTTTAAAAAAAACTCTTTTTTGTGTGACATTTAAACTTAGTTACTCTTCTAAAAAGTTGAATAAACGTTTAGAGTATCATCATAATGCAAAGTTTTAAATAAATTAAAAAACCCCCAAAACCTCCATGTCTACACTGTATTGTCCCTCAGTCTAGAACACAAACACACTGGGGTGATTAAAAATAGTATAAAGAAGATCATACCAAAAAAGCAGCTAGACTTCTCGGGGGAGAATCCCAGTCAAAGCAACTGCTAATGTAGCAGATGGCAGTTACGAGTGCCATGATACAATGCTTCATCCGGATAAAGTTCCTTAATAGTAGCTGTTAAAAACATGAAAAAATAAAAATATTTCAAAACTCCAAAAAGTTTCAGCAAAGGCTCATGCTTACAATAATTTCATTCTTAATTTCTTAATTAAGGTGAAGACTGAGAAAATAACAAGCTCTCTAGCTCACAAATTGAGCAAGTTAGTTTAAATTCTCTGGCTTGGAAGAGAGAGAACTTGTTAGTTGTGTGAATTGGTATTTGCTGAATTTCATTTTAGATGGTACACAAATTGTCCAACATTAAAAAGCCACTTGCAAATTTTCATAAATTATTTTGTTTATTAAATTTCAGTTTTATTAAGCCTTTCTTAACAAATGTTGGTCTTTCTTAATACAAAGGTGCTGCAGCACACTAACCCAAAACCATGCAAAATTACTGCTCTAATCTAATTAAGATAATCTGTACCCTCTAACATTTGTAACAAATTTGTCTGCTCTCACGTATTTTGAAAACCTGGGTTTAAGTATTTACCAAACTAACTTTAACTGCATTCTTCCAAACTACAAGACATAACAGCTCTAGGTTTTCATTCAGGAAATGTACTTAAATCCTCCAAAATTACTTCACCCTCACCCCAAAAAAACCCAAACCAAACTAAACCAAAACCAAACAAAAAACCCCAAACAAATAAAACCAAAAAACAAATCAATGAATTATTTGTGTACTGATTTGCATAGAAAATAATCACTCCTCCTGCCCTCTGCAAAAGTCACAATACTATTTTCTGTTATGAAAGTGGGAAGAAGTATTAATCTTGAGCAAAAGGTCTTACTGCTTCTTTGCTGGGAAAGGAGAGCGAACTGTAGCTTTAGCAATTACATTACTCCCAACAGTAAAGAAAGAAATATTTTGCCTCTTGAAATGTTTTTTATGAACTATATAAAAAACTGATGTAAAACTCATCCAGCACGTAACTTAAACTATGCTCAAGTCTATAAGTTTTCATCAAAGTAAAAGTCAGTTCTGAGACCTTTTCTTTTTCACTGAAAACAACAAAAATCTTGTCCCCACAGCCCAACTGAAAGCCCAGCTCTCTCCATATAAAATACATCATTTGTGGAACAGGAAAACTGAATCAAAAGTAGTTCAAGTGGAGAAAAACATGCGTGTTTAAATATTCTTTACCAAAATGTTAAAATTGTATATAGCAAAAATATCCAGAGGAAAGAGTCCAGACACTTCCTACCCCCAGGACTCTCTGTAGTATAAAGTGTTTTAGTCTGCTTTCACCTTTCATTCAAACCTTATTCAACTAACTTATTTAAAATTTGGCTAAAATAATGCTGAAAGACTCTTTACCCTGCAACAAATGAAGAACTTTCAGGTCAAAGTTAACAGCAAAAATTTATGCAAGACTTAGTTTACATGCACCTGGGTGATAATCTGATATGTGTGGAACCTGCTGGTTTCAACTGTGTTCTTATTCATGTATTTCATGGAAATTAAGCCACAATTTATAGAGGAGACACAATAAACCCATGTATTCTGTTTCTGCCTTCTCCAACCTATCATATTCTTTTGTAAATATATAATGAAAATGTTATTCTTTTCTCTCAGTAGTATGATGCCAGATATTTGGACGTGCACACTTGATATTACGGATTTTGGAACGGATTAGTGTTTCCGTACTCTTTACCTGTTTAGACAGTCTGTCTTCCTCTTCAATATACTTCTGTTCTTTAGGCATTAAGGTTCTTATGCTGGCTTTCACCTATGCATTAAAATGTGAGTCAGTATTTCAAACTTACGTGCTCCTTACTAATAACACATACTTTAATTTGCAAAAATTACAAAATTTCAAAGTCACGGCTGCCAAACTGCAACACATAAGTTTACACAGAGACATTGCTGCTCTCTACATTAGCAGCAGCAGCAGCAACAAAAAGAGTGGGTGTGCCAGGCATTGGCAGAAGAGTATTCTGTAGTATACATCAAGGTTTAGAGAAAATGAGGAATGACAGAAATTCTCTACAAATCAGGAACAAAAGCTCTCATGAAACTGAACTCTTTAGCAGTACAAAAAAGCCAAAGTTAAGACTTACAGCATTAAAAATCACATCTATTTCAAGATAGATGACCCCCTTTGTTGGCCCTGTCAGCTGCTTGTTTTTCAAGACGTAGGCTTTCTGTTCACCATTTTGAATCTGCAGGAAAAGGACATGACAGCCGTCTGTCTCGCAGTCTCCACTGAATACACCCCCCCAGTGACCCCTGACCCCCAGCTGCTGAAACTGACACAGAACCCAAAACAACTGTGGCAAGTCTGACAAGTACCTGTTCATTACCAGGACCAAGTCTGTCAGGAAAAATTAACTATCATGGGATTCAACATGGCCGTGAATAGAGTATGTTAAAATTTTAGTGTTCTTATTACAGACCTTGGTTGAGAAATGACAGATACAGAGCTGCAAATTTATTTTTTTTTCTTCCTCCCCCGCTTTAGCAGAGAAAATTCAGTGGTATGTCAGGTGAATGAAACTTACAGACAGCAGTGGTATAGCAACTTTGCCTAGAAAGTCAGCACTTCGATCGCGGTCTTCATCGTAAACTGTCACTTCAAGCACCGAGTGGATGTCTTTTATATTACTACAAAGGAAGTAGTACACACAGTGGAGAGAGGAAGTGACTTACACCAGCAAGTACTAAGGACAAAAGTGTGAAAGGTTAGCACAAACAGATACCCATCTATTTCTCCAAGCCATGGAGGAGAACAGAACTTAAGTAAATGAGGCCTCCCTGTGTATAACCAAAATGTGTTCTAAGAGCTGAAATGATTGCACTCGCTCGCTTGCTCTCTGTAAGGCTTTCCCAGCTGAGGTTTGCTTTAAATCTCCTACCCAGGGTTTGCACTGCATGACCTGCAAGGACCAGCACTGGGGGATTTACAGCCCCCAGCAGCAGGACTGAGAGCTTTAAAAGGCTATCCCTTAAACACTGCTGCCATTGCTGCGATTCTTACTGCAAATACTGTGAAATCTGTGGCTTTGTAAATGGAAATAATTACAAGATACAGGAGCATATCCTTGCACTGAAAACAAGCTCTTTACTTCTGAAATCCTTGCTTAATTACAAATATACAACAGTCATTACAACAAATAAAGAACAAACAGTAGGAAACAATTCATTTCTCAGCTACTACTGAGGCAAAAAAGCCTGCAAGCTATTAAACACTCCACTGCCATGCACTAGAACGTTACTGTACATTGTAAACTCTTGAGTAAAACATTTATATTCCTTATTTGGAGAAAAAGAATTATTTGAGAGAACTCATTTTTGATCGAATGGCTGAACCAGCAAACACAAATTCAAGCAAAGCAGTTTAACTGCAGTAAAATCTAAGCCTCCAGATGAGGGATTGCTAGCCCAAAAATTAATTAACAAATCTGAGGATAAATATAATATTCAATGCAACTATACACAGAAAAAAGGCCTTAAAGGCCTTCAGAGGTTTTCTAATTGATTCCTGATTAGTCTTTTGTCCTCTATAAATCCAGGCAATTCCTTGAGCAGAGAACACTGCTGAGCATTAGAGGATGATTAGTTATTGGCTCTATTAGTATATAATTAAAAATAAATTAATGAAGAATTTAACATGGTTTTGCAGATACAGAAATGAGAACAATAATAAGCTGTTGGAAAGTACAACTATTGAGATTTTTTTTTTTGTTCTGAATTCATTCTTGAGAACTCATTGCAGGTCAAAAAAACCTATGGATGCCAAATATATGACTGACAAATTTAGAGGGGAAAAAAGTTAAATTCACACTGAATTTTAAGATCAAGGGCAAAATATAGCATTTTCATTTATGATAAAGTGAAGTAAGTGTACACAAAGCTAAAGCTTCTACTGGTTTTGCAGAGGACTGTTAGCTGATTTCAGCAGCAGCGCGACCTGGAATGATCACGTTTTTTCTACTCATTGGTGTCACATTGCAGTCAGATAGAGAGAAGAAGGGAGAAAAAGAAGGCAACTGAGTAAGACAAATAACAAAGACATTTTGTTTTTGGAAGACTTTTTTTCTACTTTGCCAAACCCTTTTACTGTCTTCAAAGTAACAGAAGGATAAAAACCCAATAGCATCACTTCATGACAAACTAAATATTTTAGACTGCATTTTACCCAACAGCTGCATTGTACTAGTACTATACTACAGAGTATTGTGAGAAGTGCAGTTGTTAAATGAAAAGAAGTGGAAAGTATTTGATCTTAATTCAGAGACTTTTAGAATTTCTAACTTTATACAACTGACTAATGTTTTTTAAAGTTAACAATCCCATTTTAATGAAGGTCATAACCACAATATCTTTTTTTCCCTCTCAGAACTTCAGGGGCAAACCCATCACACCGGATTTGGTCCTTGAAACTCTCACTGAACCTAGCAGGAGTCTGGAGTGCTTAGCATTACATATAGCTGGTTTCCAAGAAACAGATCTGGCTTTTTAACCTTTAAAATGATACCACTGCTCTAATTTTTTTTCATGTTTTTAATCTTCAAAAAAGTAGTCAGATGTTTAGTTTAGAAATATCAGTATGTTGTCACTATTCTTCTTCAGAACCACCAGTAGGTATTCTCTTCAACACCCTCCCCTCCAAAAAAATCCACCCAAAACCCACTGCCCTCTTTCCCAATTCAAACACCCACTGCACACCCCCCGCCCCACAAATCCAAACACCTACAATGTGAAGATTTTGTTCCATTCTGGATTGAGGTTCTTGTAGATGGTATGTGTCAGCAATCTGTCATTGTTCAATTCAACTACACAAAATGGGTCACTTTTACCTATAAGAGAAAATTTGGAACAAAATTTATGAACTAAGAAAACACATGATGAGCAAAGTTTAAATAAAAACTAGTTTGGTTTTTTTTTTCCTTCTCCAAAGTTGTACTGCAATTCTCTTAAGAATTAATTCAAGGAAGTCCTATGGTCTGGATATTCAAGATATTCAAGAAGCCCTCATCTCCTTAATCTATTAACATTCTTTGCTAAAAGAACAGATTTTTGTCTTAAAAAAAAATTAAAAAATCACTACACAGATTTTTCTGATGAAAAAACAGCATGTTCCTAAAAGATGCCAAGCACCCTTCTGAGACAGCTGAGAGAACTTTACTTTAATGGTGCCCATACTCCACTGACTGTAATGATAACACAGAGCATTCTGATATGAAAGAAATGTATTATTTCATATTATTTGTAATAACACAGTACCAATCAGAGTTAACAAAAAATTACTTCTTTCACATTATACAAATCCTCTCCCCAAAAATCAAGGAGTCTTTAAGACAGTCTCATATAAAAGCTTAACACCAAAGAAAGTGGGCAAGTACAAATAAACAATGAAATTATATCAGATGGAATGATGGGCTGTAGTCTCAGCACAGCAGAAGGTCAAACATGGTTGAGACTAATGTATACATTAAAGAACAATGAAGTAGCTTTGCATATATTTACAAAAAGGTCCCTCAGCATGACCACCACCAGAAGACAAAGTATGAAGATGCTGCTTTGAAAATGTAATAAGTGATGATGGAAGCAGGATAATGGAAACGGCTACAGAGGTTTATCTTTTTTTTCATCTATAGAAAAAAAATTGGGAAAGCAAGTGTGCTTGTGTGTGCGTGCTTAAATGTGAAATAAGCAGCTCATAGCAAAAGACTGCAGGTGAGCAGTGCTTAGATACTGAGCAGAGAGGAGGAAAAATCATCCTGACTACAAGTTTCCTGGTAAAACAGGAAACTTACACTAAGTTTTTTCAAGGTTTGTATTTAGAAAGGTGCCATGGTTTAAGCCCAGAGGGAAATCAGGCTCCATGCAGCTGCTCCCCTCCCCCCACTGCCTCAGGTGAGAGAGACAAAACACAGAGATTACGGGTTTAGATAACAATTTACTGGAAACAGCAATGAGATAAGAAAAGGAACAGTAACAGCAACAATACTAATAACAATAGTGTATAGAAGAGTGATTATATGCAAAATGCTCACCAAGTCTGATGCTCCCTCCACCACTTTTTTTTCCCAAGCCCAAGATAATGAAAAACAATGGCAGACAAACCATTTGTGCCTGTGTTTTTTCCCCCAAACCCAAGACAATGAAACAATCACAATGCAGACAAACCCTGCCGTTGGGACCAGCACCACCCCACCACTCCACTTGCTGTCTGCTCCCCTGAGAAAGGAAAAAATGGCTGTGGAACATCCATGCACCCCCTTTTTCCCACACCCAAAGCCACACCCTTTCTTCTGGGAAGTGAGAATCCCTGACTTCTACTTCCCTGCCTTGGCAACGATGTGCATGGTATAGAATAATAACCTAGACGGGCCTGCATGGTTCCAGGCTCTGCCCCTGCCCCCCCATCCTTGGCTGAAACTAGGACAAAAGGATAAGAAGAAAAGTAGACAACTGAATCTGATGCTTAACAACAGCCTGGCTGTTTAAAAAGGAACTCTCTGAAGAGGGAGGAAGCAAAAGGCAGCAAGATTGGTATTTCCAGGGTTTCAGGGCACTCCTGAAATTTCCTGGAAGGGTAAGAAGGTGTTGTGAGGTAAACCTGAGGAACTGCTATGACATAAAGAGCAGTAATGAAAACATGAAGGGCATAGTGGGAAGACAGTTGCAATAAAGAGGCAATAAAGGGAAGAAATCACAATGTCGACTAAATTATTTAACTCATATTTCAAATTATGACAGTAATGACAACTGTATAAATGCTGTCCAAAACAGAGAGACACTGTCCTTCTTACCTATTTTTATTTTCTTCAGTAAGTAAAAGGAGTAACTTTTGCCTTTGGCACAGAATACAAGTGTGTACACATAATTTTCACATAAGGCTACAAATATGTAAGTAGAAAGTTGAACAACAAACTGCTGCTCCCTGGACCCAAGGGAACTCTGCTGAAAATTAACAACTGAGTTGCGTACTACAGCATGGCTTGCTCTTGTCTCTAGACTTTCTCTGGGCAGCAAAGTGTTTGAAAGGTATTGAATGTTGGCATTGGCCTTCCACAATCAAATCTAGGACACTAAGCATCTGTATTTCATAATGTCTTCCATAACTCCATATTAGTTTTTCATGCATTATCAGAAGCCATAAATTGAGTAGCTAAATTAATGGGGGTATTTAATGATATTAGGAGGCACATAGTTTGTTTCATACCTTATACAAATGACAATTAAATCAATATTTAGACAAAAATGTCCAGGTATCACATCTCTGAAACTGCAGTATTGATTCTGAATACATCAGAGTTTAATGTGCATATTATTAACTTTAATGATAAAGAATAATTGTTTTAAACACATTGTGAATTACAGCTGATGTTTACCTTTTCTAGAAAACAATATACTGCCGTTTCCCATTTTCTTGAAAAATTACTCATTAGTAAGCAGAGACGGATACATCACACTTCTCAATGTTCTCCTACTTCTCAAGGCTAAAAGGTGGTAGGAAACTTACACAATTCATATTATTTGAGTTCTGTAGGTTTCAGTATTTGAAAAAGAAATATCCAGAAGATAGTTAAAATAACAAGGCAGTGCTGACATGGCAGGTAAACTAATTTATCTCATTTTTTTAAAGTATTATCAATCATATTTGCACATGGTGGTACAATGTGAGTTGAGCTTATGAATCGTATACAGATATAAGAAAATGCACTGCAGCATATACAGGCCATCTTCTACAAACAAAGAGAAGGTTTTAATACATTTATTTATTTTCTGCACCTATTGGCATGTGCTTTTTCAATGACTCTTCTTATAGATTTATATGGATATCAATCAATAATATGTAACATTAATTACAGAGCTCCTCAATCAAACCAAAGACAAATGGTTTCCAGAAATGAAAAAATCCCTCAGTCACAGTCAACATTTCATGCCTCCTCCCCCCACCATTTGAAAACAGTTCAAGACCAAATATGAATAAAGGCAATATCATGAAATGGTTCAAGGGAGGGTCCAAATATCATGGCTAACAAATAGAAGCTTCAACATCTCTGCTCAGGAATATTGGTTTTATCATACAAGAAGGCTCTGAAGTTCCCACAGGCAAAGCCCTTCAGCATTGCATATGGGCACTTCTTCCATATGCTAAAACACTCAACTAAGCTTGGTGTCTGAAAGGCAACACTCTTTACTGACATGCTCAACATACGGTATGTGCAAACGTTATTAGGATACTAACTAAAATAAGTGAACATGATCCAGAAATGTACAAAGACTTGGTGAAACTCATATCCATCTGTCATCTTTCAAGTTCTCATTATTAGAAACAATTACTGCAATCTTAACTCTCACTGACAGCCTTGGCAACCTGCTGCACTGTGAGTGTGTTCAAAATAATGGGATTGTTCCCAATGAAAGCCTTAAGAGGGCACTAAAATATTAAAATATGTCCTTAGGTCTCCTTGGTTCCTACAACAGCCAAAAAGATCCAGCATCACTATATTATTCAAACCCAGTACCTTAAGCACAACACATACTCTAACCAAGGTAGCCTCAGACAACTTCTGTCAGGTAATGTGATTAGCAATTTCAAACAAGAGACACAGAAATGGTTTTCCTCATTTTTATACGAAAGAAACACATATTCAGAAAAGCATATGCTCTCCATTTAGCTTGTCTAACAGTACACTTAAAAACCTCTGATTGGACTTATACTGCCTATGCTCCATTACATCATTCTATATTATGCTGTCATCACAAGTATGCTTTTCACTACAGACTAAATCACAACTGTCATATATAAGTGTATATAACCTGACACATGTCAAGAACGACTACCCAAATCTCTGTGGCTACTGAGGATCTTCCAATTAGCAATCCCCTTATCCCCTCTCCATGTCTTAAATAGGCCTCCAGCTACTATTCCACTGACTTCAGAGGCACTTAGCTATTGATCAGGTGGACATCTACAAAAAGCTCCTGTGTTTGGCACTACGCATGGGTAAGATAACCACCACCTGCATATGGCACTTAAACATTAAAAGCATGTTCCCAGAAGCACCAACATGAGCACTTCAAATTCTGAGTAATCCCATGACCTCAGTGGGACTAAGTGCTAGTATGCCTACCAACATTTGAAGGAAATAAAAGTAGGTAGTAAAATAAATAAAAAGTAGGTAGTAAAAAACAAAGTACATCTTCCCACTTACTGAAATCAAACCTGCAGAAACCTCAATATGAAGCAAAACAAATCTCATTAATCCATTCTGTTGCTGTAATGTCTCATGCTTTTTGGACTCTACTTGTACAGTCCTAAGGGTTCCTGAAATTACAGAAATGAACCGCTAATTTACATAATATTCATAATTGGAAGGGAAAGCAGCATCTCTTTTGACAGATCTCCCTCACCCTTTTCCCCCTTTATCCATTACAGAAGTGGACTATCTAAGAACATCCTCTAGAAGAAGTTTTACTTTAACACTGAAAAGAAGAACTACTTATCTTTTGAAGCTTCCCATTTTATGCCACTCATTGCATCTAGTTAAACAGATACCCTTGTTTGTGCTATGCTGTATTGCACTTAATGTTTAGACAGTGGCAAGACCAGAGCACAAATTGAGATTACCTTACTTAGATCTAACTTAGACAGCACTGTGTTCCTCACATTGCATGTGATGCACACATTAAAATTATAGTCATTTACTTGTCACCTGATTTCTTAGAACCACCACATGCTCCTGGATGAACACCCATAACCTGAAATCAGCCCAACTCTGCAACAGAGGACAATCAGGAACTATAGATGTCTTATTTGTTGTTTGCTTCAAAACTGAAAGTC